ATGGCCACCAGCGGCTCCCTGGGCGGGTTTTCCCGCTGCTCCTACTGCTGCTGCTGCTGCTGCTGCTGCTGGACCACACACAGCATCCGATTAATCGTAGGTAAGAGGCTACCGACCTGCGCCACATGACACCGAACCGTCCACAACCTCCCAGAAAACGGCCGATAGCGATGAAGATGGGGGTTGAACGGTGATTTAGAGCCGAGCCAGCAGAGTGTTATCCGTGTGGATGAGAGGCTGTTCTTCCCCTCTCGCTCTCTCGCTCTCTGTTTCTCTCTCTTCCTACCTCCCTCCCTCTTTTTCTTAGTTTGATTACATCATAGCTGCCTCAGAAGAAACACAGTCCAACAGCTGACGAGAGACAGAGCTGATGATGATGATGATGATGATGATGATGGCAGTGGGTGGACGCACACACACAGTTGCCTTATTCTCTGATAAAAGAGGAAGAGCCGTAAAACCCCAGGTGACACATGTTGTTATAAATGTATAAGCGTGTCGGTTTCATAAGATAATCTGAGGCCTGGTTCTTCATTAACTAGAAACTGAAACAACATACTGTATTTGTCAAGACAAACAGCCTTTATTTTTAGTCACAAAATACTCAGTAGACGTTAGTTTTTGAAATAAAAGTTCCTTCCAAAAAATCTTCTGTAAAAGGATTGACAACAAGATACAGTTGAGAATAGTGTGTTTCAGTTGTTATAGTATGTAAAAGGGGATCATTTATGATTTTTTAAATGTCACTAATTTTTTTTTAATAGTTTGAAACAAAAACAAACTAACAAAAAAAAAACAAGGCAAAAAGGTCATGGAACAAAGGTTGATGTTAATCCAGTCTCTTACAACAACAGGGAGCTCCCATTGTCTTAAAGGCGATCAAGTTATTATCATGTTTCCTTCTGTAAACTGAACTCCTGTGGCTGATACTGTCAATCGGTGACATCATCTCAGGGGTAGGGAGGGCAGAGAAAATCAATAAAGGTTGAGATACTGTATTTTGACTTCCAGTGCAGCTCACATTCACATCTGTGGTCTCAGAGTGAATTATCAACTGAGTCCATCTTGCTTTCAAACTGTGGTTCTCAGTCATCCAGGTCCTTTTATCCTACAAAGTCCAGTGCAACTGGACCAGTTTGGTTTCTTGAAGTTTCACCTTTCATCCTAGAATAGAAACGTCTCCACAAAACCAAGCCATTGTGGTTGTCTAATACTGAACTTCTTGAGGATGATGATGTAATGATATCTGTATCAGGAGCTAAAAAAAACCCCAAGATGTTTAACCAAAAATTGCCCCAGTTGTTGTACCATAACTCGGTTGCCAAACAAGCCAACAATACCACGCATGCAGTGAGTGATCACTGAGTGACCGAGTGTGCTCGAGATATACACGCTAAGAACTGTTATCTGATTTCAGATTTTCAGATCTGGCTTTATAGTATGGCTTAGCAAAGAACAAGGAAGCAATAAAAGAAGCTAAGTTTGCCAAAGGAGTGACTGTGATCACCAAGCAAAGCTCTCTGACATTAGAAGAAGAAATGATATGGAAAAGTTGCTAGTATTTGGACACTCATCACCACATACAAAGATGGTATTTGGATTCTTTAATGGGTCCAAAAGACTATTTAAAAAGGACTGTCTTATAGCTTAACGATAATAAAATGTCTCAGATCTCAAAAAAACAGAATCCAGGAGTCTCACTCTGCCTGTGGACTTCTCCTCCTGCCTGACCCTGTTCCTGGTGGATTCTTTAATGGGTCCAAAAGACTAAACCCACTGAACCCACACATGACCTATTTCCAGAACAAAATTCTCTTGGCCTTTTCTTGGGCTTTACTGAGCCTTGTCTTCTCTGATTTGAGTCTTTCACACTCCTTACTCACTTGCTGTCTCCAGGTCAATTCCTCCTGCAGTTTGTCAATGTAATAGTCTCTCTGTTGAGAGAGAGTTTTGTTACTACTAATCTTTGACTCGAGAGCCGAAGAGAGTCTTTTAGCATCATCTCTGAGGGCAGTGTTAACCTTCTTCTGGGTCTTGAGGCTTTGGTTCAGCTCAGAGTTACGTTTTTCCATGCTGTCCAGCTCCTGCCTGAGAGTCCTGGATCCATGAAGATGAACCTCCTTGTGTCTCTCCAGTTGGTCACTCAGCTGCAGCCTCCGCGCCTGCTCCTCCTCCAGCTCTGCCGTTAGGAATTCTTTCTCTTTTGTCAGGGACTTGTTCTTCTGGATCTCTGTCTTCAGGTTGACAAGGAGTTTGTCACTTAGAGCCTGAGACTCACATCTGAGCCTTTCTTTAACCTGGAGTTTGTTAAAGAGCTCGTCGCTGGAGCGATGAACAGCATCAATCTCCTGCTGATGGCTGAGCTTCTCTCTCTCCAGCTGATTTTGCAGCTCAAAACGCCACTTCTGTTCTTTGTGGAGTTCAGCTACATTACACTTGATCCATTTTGACAGATTTTCATTCTTTGCGATCTGTGTTTCCAATGCTATAGAGAGCCTCACAGCGTCCTCTCGCAGGGCTGTGTTGATGTCCTTCTCAGTCCTGAAGCTGTAGTCCAGATCAGAGTTCTTTCTTTCCAAGTTCTCCACTTTTTCTGCTGTGGATTTCTTCATTGCCTCAGATTCCTGTAGATGGCACTCTTTTTGTTTCTTAAGATCATCGCTCAGCTGTAATCTCCACGTGTGCTCCTCATCTAACTTGGCAGCCAGCGACTCTTTTTCTGTCGCCAGAGAACTATTTATTTGTTTCTCTGACTCGAGGTTATTAGAAAGTCTCTCATTCAGAGCCTGGGAGAGTCTCCTGAGCTCCTCCTCAGCCTGGAGCTTGGTGGAAACCTGCTGGTGGGCTTCTTTCAGGACTTTCAATTCCCAGTGAAGAGCTTCTGTCACATCATTGGTCTGTTTCACAGACTCAAGGAGCTGTTGATGGGCAAGCTTCTGTCTGTCCAGCTCATCGCTTAACTGTCTTGTCCAGGTCTTCTCCTTTTCAAGCTCAGCACTAAGAGATTCTTTCTGTGTAGTCTCCAGATTGTTAGAGAGCCCGTCAGTTAGAGGCTGCATTTTCCCTGGAAAATCCATCTCTTCCTGGAGTTTGACATGGAGGGGTTTTAATTTCATGCGCAGGACTTTTGTCTCATGACCGATTCCTTGGTCAGAGTTTGATGTGTCCAACTTTTTGCCGGTCTCTGTCCATCTCTCTGTCTTTGTCTGCTTCTTTCCCTGCTCAATGGTCAAAGTCTCTTTCTCACTCGTCAAGGACTCATTCTTGGTTTTCTCTGCCTCCAGGTTGGTAGACAGTCTGTCATTTGAGGCCTGGCTGTTGCCTCTGAGTTCCTCTTCAACTTGGAATTCAGTTGCAACCAGTTTGTTGGCTTCTTTCATAGCATCCGAATCCAACTGAGGAACCTCGTTCACCTTACTTGACTGTTTTAGAGCATCCTCGTAGGTGAGTTTCTGTCTCTCCAGCTCACTGCTCAGCTGCTGACTCCACTGCTGTTCCTCCTCCAACCTAGAATTCAAAGTCTCCTTCTCTTTAGTTAGAGAAACATTCTTTTTCATCTCTGTATCAAGATTAATAGAGAGCCTGTCTCTTAGAGCCTGAAGGTCACATCTGACTTCCTCTTCAACCTTCAGCTTGGAGAACAGGTGCTGGTGAGCTTCTTTGAGGGCTTCCAATTCCAGCTGTGTTGCGTCCATTACATCATCTGACTGTTTTAAAGTCCCAAGGGTGTTCTGATGGGCGAGTTTCAGTGCGTCCAGCTGATCACTCAGCTGCAGCCTCCAGGTCCGCTCTTTCTCTAGCTCAGCAGTCAGAGAAATGTTGACTTCTACCAGAGATCTGTTTTTTGTGACCTCTGTTTTGAGGTCGGCAGAGAGTTGATCATTTAGTCCTTGAGTGTTGCCTCTGAGCTCCTCTTCAACCTGAAGTTTGATGGTAAGACACTGGTTGGCTTCTTTCAGGACTTTCAATTCAGAGCAAAGGGCCTCTGTCACATCACTCTGCTTTTTCAACTCATCCAGCACTTGCTGATGGGCTAGCTTCTGTTTCTCCAGCTGATCTTGCACCTGTAGTCTCCAGGCCTGTTCCTTTTGGAATTTTTCCGCATCATACTCTCTCTGTTTTGACAGATATTCGTTCTTTGTGGTCTGGGTTTGAAGTGCAAAAGAAAGTCTGAAAGTGTCTCCTCTCAGTGTCCCATTGACATCCTTCTCAGCCTTAATGCTATGGCTAAGCTCAGAGTTCAGTTTTTCTAGGCACTTCAGTTTCTCATCGGCCGATTTCGTTTTTGCCTCAGCTTCCTGCAGAGCATCTTTTTGTTCCTGCACCTGTTCATTTAGCTGGGCGCTTAATGTCTGCTCGTTCTCCAGCCGGACAGTAAGACAGTCTTTTTCTTTTGTCAGAGATTCATTTTTTTGTATCTCTGCCTCCAGGTCTTGATGAAGTCTGAAGGATTCAGTCTGGCAATTGCTTGTGAGTCCCTCCTGGACCTGGAGTTGGGTGGAAAGCTGCTCATTGGCGTCTTTCATGGCTTCCAATTCCACATTGTACTGTTTGACGGCCTCCAGTACTTCCTGATGGGCGAGCCTCTGTTTCTCGAGCTGATCACTCAGCTGCATTCTCAGCACCTGCTCCTTCTCCAGCTCGACAGACAGAGACAGTTTTTCTTTGGTCAGAGACTCGTTCATATTTGCCTCTGTCTCCAGGTTGTTGGTGAGCCTGTCAGTCAGAGCCAGGGAGATGCTTTTAAGTTCTTCTTCAACCATGACTTTAGAAGAAAGCTTTTGGTAGGTTGCTCGCAGGGCATCCAATTCCTGGCAAAGAGACTGTGCTAGAGCACGAAACTGTTTAAAAGTCTCAAGTGCCTGCATATAAGTAAGCTTCTGTTTCTTCATCCGTTTGTTCAGCTGCAGTCTCCAAGTCTGTTCCTTCTCCAGCTCCATGGACAAAAACTCTTTTTCCTCTGTTAGAGCCTCGTTATTTCTTACCTCCGTCTCCAGGCTGGTGACGAGCTTCTCAGTTAATGCCTTGTTAACACATCTGTGTTCCTTCTCAATTTGGAGTTTGGAGGCAAGTCTATTGTTGCCTTCTTTTAGAGCGTCCAGTTCCAGACGCAGAGCCTCTGTCACTCTGCTGGATTGTTTCACAGCCTCGAGTTGGTTTTGTACGTTTAATCTCCAGCTCTGCTCTTTTTGGAGTTCGGCCTTGTCAGAGTCTCTAAGTTTCAATAAGTTACTGTTCTTTTTAACCTGTGCCTCTAATGCAACAGAAACCTTGAGAGAGTCTCTTCTGAGAGTTGCATTGACATTCTTCTCAGTCTTGATGACGTGGCTGAGTTCACAATTAAGTCTTTCCAAAGATTGTAATTTTTCACTTGTTGACTCTTTCAGTGATTCTGTTTCCTGCAGATGGGTGTTTTTTTGTTTCTGCAGCTCATCACTCAGATGCAGTCTGCAGGTTCTTTCTTTCTCCAGCTCTGCGGCTAGATACTCTTTCTCTTTGGTCAAAGATTGATTCTTTCTGAACTCAGTCTCCAGGTCGTGGGAGAGCCTGGTAGTGAAGGCTTCAGACTTGCTTCTCAGTTCTTCTTCAGCCTTGAGTTGGGTGAATAGCTGCTTGTTGACTTCATTAAGGTCTTCCAACTCTAGATGGAGTGCCTCTTTCACTGCCACCAGTGTTTCCTGGTGGGCAGCCTTCTCCAGCAGCCTCCATGATTGCTCCTCCTGTAACTGGATGCACAGGGAGTCCTTCTCGTTTGAAAGGCACCTGTTCTTTGTGGTCTCTGCCTCCCGACTGACAGAAAGTCTCTTCATCAAAGCCTGGCATCTGAGCTCCTCCTCTATCTGGAGTTTTGTGGAAAGCTCCAGGTTGGCCTTTTTTAGGGTTTCCAGTTCACGGTGAAGAGCCTCCGTTACACAATGAGGCTGTTTCAAGGTCTCCAATGCCTCCTGGTGGGCGAGCCTCTGTTTCTCCAGCTGATCCTTCAGCTCCAGTCTGTTCTTGTGTTCTATTTCCAACTCAGTGGACAACAAGTTTCTCTCTTTTGTCAGAGATTCATTATTTTTGTTCTCTGTCTCCAGATTGACAGAAAGCCTGTTTGCCAAGGCTTGTGATTTGCACCTGAGTTCCATCTCAACTTGGAGTCTGATGCCAAGCTGCTGATAGTCTTCTTTTAGGGCCTTCAACTCCCGACGGATAGCGTCAGTTACTCTGCTGGACTGCTTCACTGCTTCAAGTGACTGCTGATGGGTATACCTCAGTCTCCCAAGCTGCTCAGACAGCCGGAGTCTCCATGTCCGTTCCTTCTCCAGCTCTGTCATAAGAGACTCTTCCCGTTTTTTAAGACACACATTCATTTCATTCCCTGTCTCCAGGTTGGAAGAAAACTGGTCACCCTTACAGCTGAGCTCCTCTTTGACCTGAGGTCTGTGGACAAGCTGTTGGTGGTGCTTTTTTAAAGCAACCAGTTCCTGCCGCCGGGTCTCTGTTTCATCATTGGACTGTTGCTCGACCAACTTTTGCTTCTCCAACTTGTGTCTCTCCTCCAAACTTTTGGTTCCTCTTAAAATGCAATCCTCTTCAGCCAGATCAGGGTGCAGATGTTCTATGATGTCTAAGTTTTGTTTGACAGACTCCTTTAGTGCTTCAGATTCTTGTACATGAGCATCTACTTGCTTTGGCGGTTGATTGTCTAAGTGCCTCTGAGTCTGCTCTATGTCTAGATGAGTTGTGGGAGATCCTTTCTCAGTTTGAACCTGTGAGTCGCATCTCAGCTCTTCTTCAACTTGGTGTTCGGAGCCACACTGCTGGTCGTCTTCTTTCAGAACTCCCAGATTCTGTTCAAGGGTTTCACTCACATCACAAGACAGCTTCACAGCTTCAGGTGCCTGCTGAGATGATTTCTCTGGAATGCTGGATGAGTTCTCCTTCTCCGGCTGAACAGTCTGAGGTGTTTCCAACTTTACTTTGAGGTTACCTGTAATACAAATAATAATACATTTTATTTATAAGCACCTGTCCGAACTAGAATGTAGGCAGGGACATTGCAGAGCAGCTATAAGACCCCAGACCCATGCTAAGAGGAGAGGCTGAGGACAGGGCACCACAGGGGGTGTAAATTTGACAGGTAAACATGGAGCAGTGTGTGGAGGGATTTGAATGCAAGAATTGGGATTTTGATTTCAATGCAATAACGGACACAATCTCGTAAACTACCTGTGATATCCTTATGAACCAATAATGTATGAGGACTATCCTCCTCTTCTGAGACTTCATTTGCAAGCTCAAGCTCCCATTCCTGCCACAGATCGTCCAGTTGCAGCTGTTGGACATCTTTCAACCCTTGGAGGTCACTGTCCCTGTCCTGAACAGACAGCACCTCATCACACAACGGTTTAGTTTGACTTTTACTGGTTGCAGTGTCCATCATCATTAATGATCTCTAGTTTTCTGTAAAGCTGCCTCAGGTAACGAGTGCTATATTTTTTCCAGATTTCTTCATCTGTGATCCTTCATCATCTCCTAAAACGTCTCTGTCGTTATTAGCAACATCTTTAACCGCAAGGCTGTAAATATCTAGTGATCCTTGTATTCAAAGACACTAAAGTCAGTGACATCAAAGACCTTAGTGATGACAACTTTTGACATCAAAGACCTTAGTGATGACAACGGTATCAACTTAAAAAAAGTGGGGCATCCAATGGTGGGATTGAAACAATCATTTTGTGATTTTTTAAGACATAACACTAGATATATTTCAAGAGGTGCATTTTACAACTTCTTACTTTTTCTGCTGGTGGTACTGCAACAAGAATTTTTTAGACCTAATTGATAAAACATATGTGCTATATTTATTTTGTGAGACAGTTTACCTTAATCATACTTCAATATAGCCACAGCTTGACTTTGTACTATAGATACTTGAAGCCATAATGTTTCAATACCTGGAAAAAAAAGTATAAACCAAATTGTTACAAAAAGACTAAATCACTTGTTTTACCACTTGCATAGAAAAAGGATGAACAGCAGCAACAAACTTAAACGCAACATGTACAAAAGAAACCAACAAAATGAAATGAATACATTTATTTTTTATTGGCTGCTTGTATGTCAAACACACAGCATTTGCATTATTACTTGGTGCATCTGATCTACTTTTATATACTGCATGTGTTCTTCACAGTCCCAATCAGCAGAGCGACAATGAAAAGTATTCACACACACGCCCGCTTACACTAGTCAGATAGAAACACAGAATAGTGCAAAAAAATAACAAACATTCATTCATGATAGTTCATCTCTCAGGAAATTCTAAAAAGGGCATTGGTTCAAGCTTATCTTGGTCCTTCACACAGAAGAAACAACTCATTTCCTTTCTGTTTCAACATCATTTCACTTTCTTTTCTACCCCACAAGACTTAGCAGGAGGTTTGCGACGTGTTTTGTGACTAGATCTGTTTTCCACGCGGACATGAAAGTAAAACTTTACAGTGACATGTTAAGGAAACTATGGCAAATGGGTTGAGCTTGACTATAAGCCTGCGGGTCAAATCTGGCCCAGAATACAGACAATGTATTAAAATGGCAGCGACACTCGTGACCAAGTCTGACTGAACATGAATCAAGTGCACCCCGTGATGTGAATTCAACCAGACGCCCCCTGAGTGAACTGGTGATATTTGGTGATAAGTAGAACAAATCTGGTGATGAACTAGGTTTTTCTCACTGCCAACGAACAACATCCAACGATGAAGAGACTTTACCACCAATCATCAATGGTTATGTAACGGTTATGTGTTGTTCTGCTGTAGTGAGAGAACCATGTTCCACATGCTGAAATGTGTATGAATGCAAATTTAAAAACACTACTTGTAATGTATTTATCTTTTTTATCAACAATATTTAAAAGCTGTGTGTGTTAGGGCTGTTTGGAAAGACAATGAGATATTTTCGAAAACAAACCGTTATATTTTATCTTATTTTAACACCAACATTATAAAGAAAGAGACTGTGACTGAGTAAAGTGAGAGACGGGAAATAGTTGTTTTCCAATGACATCAAATATTGCTTTCACTTTAGAATATTCATACCAAATAAATGAAGATGGTCTGGCCCCAGAGCTGTCACTGACCATCACTGTGGCATCACTAATCTTTTTCACTCTGTATCCACTCCTGACTCGTCCAGTTGATTTTTAGTTCAAACCACGATAAGGTGATAATGTACGATTTGGAACCACTGGCATCAGTCTTTCACAAGACAAATATCATCCCATTAAAAGTGGATTATTTAACACCAAGATTCTGCTGATGCTTCTCCAATTACCCTGTGCCTCAAAGCATATTGGTAATCAACACTCAGCTACTTCAGTTTCAATACTGACAGGTAGAGGTTTTTGGACACTCCCCTCTCTAAATCTGCAGTTGATGGGGTGAACTTTGTACACCGACTGAGTGTAAGTAGAAGGAATGGGTTTCTATGCATCAAATCCATGCCATTCAGTGATGGAAGCAGAGCCACGAGTGAATAAACAACATTTCCTTTTAGTCAGAGATTTAAACCCATGGCTTTTCCAGAGTTTGAGATTTTGACTTCCTAAAAGGCAGTTTCTGA